GYTTTACAACATTATAGTTGTCACAAGCCTACAGCGCCCTCTCCTGGCTGCAGACTGTAATGTTTACTGCTTGGTTTATTTTAGTCAGTGTGAACTTACATTTTGCATCAGTCCAAAAATGCATCATGAAGAGGAACTATAAGTCATAGGATGAGCCAAACTATAAAATAGGTATGACTTGTTTGCGGAAAATACAATAATCTGTTTTCATTGTGAAGTAACCAAAATCATAAGACTAGTTTGACATCATACAACATCATAGAGGCAAAGCTAAGATGGTTTGGACATGWGCAGAGGAGGAACAATGGATATTGGCCATAGGATTTTGGATATGAAGCTGCCTGCTAAGGAGGAAATGGGCAAAATGACAAAAATTGGGTTCATGGATGTATTGGAGGAGGATATGCAGTGGGTCGGTGTGATAGAGGTGGACGCTACAGGCAGGGTGAGATGGAGGCACTGTGCTGAATCCTAMAGAAAGCAGCCAAAAGAAAAAGATTGAAAAAAGTTATAATTTTTGTAGCAGGTCACTTTGAAACACAAGTTTATAAAATGCTTAAAAACTTTGAGAATTGTATATTTTGTCCCATTAAAAGGATTTTATAGAGTCAAAAAACACTGTAATGTCTAGGTTAGAGTATTTTAAAATATAATGTTTGGTATTATTGTTAGATTTCCTTACAAAGGACCAATACGAAATRTTTTACATAAAGTCTTTTGCAGGCTTGATAATGGTCATGTCTGTTACGTAAAACAAATCAGCAACAACWAATGGTAGTTTGACTTCTTGAAGGAGCATCACTTGTCTATACTACAGTTTACAACTTTAATKTTCTGCCAAGAGTAAAAGGTGATGCTAGGAAACAGAACTTGGACTGAACCCCATTAAGTGAGYATCTTCTGCTTTTGAGAATATCTGGACAAAATGTTCAATCAGCAGATGGTTGGGGAAATAGTTGTACACAGCAAATACTCACACATCAGTCACCTAGAATGTTATTCTTCTGTGTTTATTGCAAACACACTTGATCAGTCTTTCTGGACATCATGAACAATGCAGCCAAATTAGAAGCCTTTTAAATGTAGGGCAGCAAATGTCCTGCAGAGACTAGGTGAAGGGAGAACACTAATTGTTCCCACACCTTTACCTGTGCAAACATAATGATGTCTCAACACTACTTTGTTTTCATTAATGTCAAACAGGGATATGACGTTAATTGGTCTCAAACGTGTGAAAACCAGAAGAGCGCAGATGAGATCTGGCCTGAGAACAGCAGGCTGGAGAGGCAGCCTCTCTCCTCTGAACATGCAGAAACCTGGTCCCACAGCACAGAACTGTGAGGAACATGAGCTCCACCACAACATGAGCAAAACTGCTTAACAAGCTCCTTCAGCCTACAGAGACCTTTAGGGCAGAAAATGGTTCTTTTCTGATTAATTGTTGTTATCCAATTTAATTTAAAGAAACAACTGGGTTCCTTTTTATTTGATATGGAGAGGGTTGCAGAAGTGTTCAACCCCCCTTGGTATTTGTTTTACTTTGCTGCCTCATAACCAGGAATTTAATTGGATATTTGATTTGAATAAGCATTAACTCTACAATAAATACTTTAGATAAAATGTGTCAAACTCAAGGCCTGCGCGCCAAATGTGGCCTGCCAYGGCATTTTATGAGGCCCAGGAGAGTTTCAAAGGTTCATGAAAGTCTTAAAATAAGCTGCTTTAAAGCCAGCATTGACCATGAACTACATCTCCCATAATGCATGTTGAYTATTTTACCACAGGGTTCAAAAGTAGACGGCAGCTGGTAAAATTTACATTTCGCTGAATTTTGGCCAGCTACTTTTGCTGTGTCCCAGTTGTACTGGGAAGTGGTAATTTCCCACTTACAAATTGTGAATTTAAACTGGAACATCTCTCCAATGGGAATTCCCTGCTGGAAAATGAGAGTGTTTAGAATTCAAGACTGCAGCTACTCACCACAACTCAACAGTGAGTAAAACTCTCTTACTTTTACTTTTATAAGTATTTCTGTATTATTTATTTCACATTTAGTGAGTCATACACGTAGTACTGATA